TGGACACCAGGGACCACGTGGTCCTGCGCTCACAGGGCCGTGGGCGGCGGGCGGATAGCTCAGCCGTGCTCACGTGAGCACAGTCCCCAGCTGCCCCAGACGCCCCCCGCGGGCACATGCCCACCAGCTGCCGTCACCAAAGGACGACACGGGCGGCCGTGGCTGGTGGCCGGAAGGGAAGCCCCTAGCGGGCGGCCGTGTGGTGCCCCCACACAGCACAGGCCCCAGGGCAGAGCAGTGGCCTGGCCTCCAGGAACACAACCTCCCTGACCGGTGAGGCCCATGTCAGCACGGACGCTCAGCGGGCAGCATGCTGACCGCCAGTGCGTCCGGTGCCCCACGCTCTCCGTGTACTTAACAGAGCAGACAGACACACGGAAAGGACAGAAGTGTCTCCCAAGAAGAGGACCCGTCGAGCCACGACTCCAAAGACAGACGGAAACCGCAAAGGGCCCAGTTGGGAAAGATGAAGAGAGAGACCGAGAGCCTGGCAGTCACCTTCCATGCTGACGGCCCGGGTCGCCAGCTCCTGCCTTCTGTGGGCGCCCGCCGGGCCCACCGCACGTGCCCAGAGCAAGGACAAGGGGCCCGCAGGGTCTGCTTGCAAACCACACCGGAGTCCACTGCCAAAAACCAGAGACCGGCCTGGGAAAGGTGTGCCAGCAGCGCCGTTCGGGACAGAGGCCAGGGCATGGCAAAGCCCCATGAGCGTGAACCTCGACCAGGGCCGACGCCGTCAGGCGGCTCACGCCCCAGCTCTGCTGTCTCCTAGAGCGGCGAGCAGCACCTCACACACCTACACCGACGGAAGCTCCGGAAGCTCCGTTCCCAGGCTGCACCCAAACCTGGCAAAGGGTGCAGCCTCCGGCCGGGGCTCCCACGAGCGCCTCTCCGCGGCGGGTCAGTGCACCGCGTGCCCACGGGGCAGGAGGGGCACCAGCACCCAGCAGCAGGGACGCGGCGGCAGGCCTGGAAGGCACAAGGCCCACAGCAGGTGGGAGGAGCCCCAACTCTTCAGAGATGCGCCAAGTACGCCTTCGACAGCGTGTGCAGGACCCGCGGCGACGTGCCAGGTGACAGGAAGGAGATGAAAGCCGTCAACCCGCCAGCGCCAAGAGAGAAGGAAATCTCTGGGGACAGGAGGGCAATACCGCGCAGGCTCACCGCCCGGCAAGGACCGCGCCGGCCCCCAGCACTGTGTGGACAGCTATGGTCGGAAGCAACAGGACAGGGGCTGGACCTGCTGGCCTCCCTGAGCCCCGCAGCCCCGACTCAGGGGGCAAAGATGTGATGCGGCCCGTGGCAGGAGGGGACACCCACCCGGGCTGCTGGCGGGGTAGTCAGGCCGTCCTGCAGGCACCGGGCCGCCGTCCCCCAGCAGGAGCCCCGCAGAAGGGTCTGCAGAGGCCCACAGCGAGGGTCTCAGGGCTGCAGGCTGCCCGGGCGGCAGAGCACTTCCCCACGGAGCTCGGCGGATGCCCCTGGAGCACCGTGCACAGTCGGCTTCACACTGCGCCCAGGGGTCAGTCCTCCTCACGGGATGGACTGCTTCTGCCGTCTCCCACCACGTGTGTGGGCACCGAGGCTGCTCTTACGATGGTGCGGGCTCGGACACACGCGCGAGCCCAGTGGACACAGCGTGCCGGCGTGTTGGAGCAGACGCTCTGCACCAGGAACGTCCTGCACACACAGGGGACCTTCAGGTCCGCCAAGGAGGAAGCACACAGTGTGGCTGCACCAGCGGGAAGGAAGTGGGTGGAGCTGGGCCAGCGCCACAGGGTGGAGGGCAGAGCGCTCCTTGTGCACCAGACGGTCGGGCTGCCCGCCAGGAACAAGTCCACGTCTGTGCGCGCCCGGTCAGACAGAAGCCCGACCACGCTACGGGGGGACCCACCGTCACCGTGGGGGTCTTCATGTGTCCTCAGGGGACAGAAGGAGCCAAACCAAACTTAGCAAGCATCGCGAGGAGCCTGGCCTGAGGGACACTCACACGCGTGTGCAGAAAAACCCTCCTTTCACGAGCCCTGGGGACCAGACGTGCCCACGTGCTGGGCCGTAAGGCAAACATCCACCGTTTCAAAGGATGGAGGTCCTGCACACGGCGTCACCGCTCACGAGAAAGAGCCACGCTAAGAGCAAACCACGGCCGTGAAGGAAGGAGCACGCGTCCGAGGTACTGACCACACGCCTGGGCCGTGGCCAGAGCAGGTCCCACACGCACCCACAGGGGTGGAGGTCCCTGAGCGCGAAGCTCGCCCAGCCGCCTCCCCAGCCGGCGGGCGTCTTGTCCTGCAGAGACGCCGCGCTCCTCACAGACGGAGGGCTCCTGGCACCTGCTGCCAGCACCGCTGTGGGCACCATTTTCCCAACCACACTCGCTCACGTGTCTCTGGGTCACACTTCGGTAGTTCTCCCAACATTTCAAAATGTTACTCATTGTTTGGGCCATTACGGTCGTCTGTGAGCCGTGATCTTCGGTGTTCCTGTTGCAATGGCTTCCGGCCGCGGCGAGCCACACCCACGGAAGACCATGAACTTCATCAATGTCGTGTGTGTCCTGACGGCTCCCCCCACCAGCCGTTCCCCCTCCCTCCCCCTCTCCTCGGGTCTCCCTGGTCCCCGAGACACAACAATGTTGGAACTCGGCCAGTTAGATAAGCCCGCGGTGGTCGCTAAGTGGCGTCCGGTGAAAGGAAGAGCCGCCGTCTCTCGCTTTACATCAAAGCTGGAAGTGAGTGCGGAGAGGAAGGCACGTGGAAGGCAGGAGGGGCCGACAGCTTGGCCTCTGACATCAGACAGTGAGCCTGGCCGTGGATGCAAAGGAAAAGTTCTCGAGGAAATTAAAAGTGCCACTCCAGCGAGCACAGGGATAAGAAAGCGAGACGGCCTTCACGCCGACCGGAGAAAGGCTGAGTGGTCCGGAGAGATCAAACCGGCCGCCACGACATTCCCTCCCGCGAAAGCCTGGTCCAGAGCCAGGCCCCGACTCTTCGGTCCCCTGGAGGCGGAGAGGGGACGAGCCTGCACCGGGAAAGACTGGAGGCGGCACAGGTGGGCTCGGGAGGCTTAAGGCAGCAGCTGGCTCCGTCAGGACCCGTGCGAGGGGAGCCCGCCGTGCCGATGGAGAGGCCGAGCACGTTCTCCCGAAGAGCGAGCCATGCAGGGGCCATCTAGGACTTCTGCAGCCGGAGAGGCGAGCCCAGTGCCTGTCGTCTAAGCTTCGGAGGCCGGGCTGAGCCTCCTGTTAGCGGCGACGCAGCTGGTGACTTGGGAGTGGAAGCCGCGCTCACTCACCCTCCTGAACATCTGGGCCCCACAGTCCTCCTGCCTCTACTCTGCCTGCGCTCCACGAGCGGAACCTCAAAGCCCCGATGACACGGTTTACTGAGTATTTCCAGCCCGCTGTTGAGACCTGCTGCTCAGAAAACAAGAGGTCTCCTGCCAGTACTGCTCGGGGGCGCCTGGGTGCCTCAGTCGGTTAAGCCTCTGCCTTCGGCTCAGGTCGTGATCCCAGGGTCCTGGGATCGAGCCCCACTGCCTGCTCAGCAGGATCTGCTTCTCCCTCTCCCTCTTCTGCTCCCCCTGCGTATGCTTTTTCTCTCAAATAAATAAATAAATAAAATCTTAAAAAAAAAAAGTCCAGCAAACATTACTGCTCACTGGCAGGGCACCTGGGCGCCCAAGAGCCTGGACGGAGATGGATGATGAGATTAATGTTGTGTTCACGCCTGCTGCCACACAGTCAGCCTACGGATCAAGGAATCACTTTGATTTTTAAGTCTTATTATCAAGAAATGCCTGTCCTAAGGCTGTAGCTGCCATAATAGTGATTCCTCTGATGGATCGGGGCAAAGTGGATGGAAACATCCCGAAAAGGATTCTCCGTTCCAGATGCCGTCAAGAAGATCCACGACGTGTGGGAAGAGTCAGACTATCCACAGGGGTTCGGAGGAAGTGGATTCCAGCCCTCATGGGTGACGGTGAGGGTCCGAGTCTTGAGTCGGGGGAGTCCCTGCCGATGTGGTGGAAACAGCGAGAGAACCAGAGCCAGAAGCGGGGCCAGAAGGCGGGACTGAACGGCCATAGTCTCCCGATCACTCTTGAAAGGCGGCGGCGCGGCGTCTTGTGGGCGAGCAGAGAAGGTGCGTTCCTGACACGGGGACTGCTCCCGGGGGAGAGGCCGTGCGGGCGGCTCAGATGACGGCAGGGGACCTAGACTGTCCCGCACACGGAGTCACAGCGCAGCGGCAGGTTGGGGAGGACCGACTCCCGTTTTGGAAGTTCTCCCGTGGGTCAGATGCTGCCCAGCAGCGTCGCCTGCTACTGAGAAATCGTTCGTGAAAGGAAGAGCCCGTCGGTGCCACGAACGTCCTTCCTGTCTCGTTTTAGGAAATTGCCGCGGGCACCGCAGCCCCCGGCCCCCGCCCCCGGTCAGCAGCCGGCGCCGTGGGGGCCGGACCCTGCTGCAGCGAAGACGGGGACGGGCTGGGAGCCCAGAGGCGGGCAGCGTGGTTAGCAAGGAGGAGTTCTTCACTGAGGCGCGCACGCTGACTCCCCAGACGTGATGCTACCGCACGTGTAACAGACCACAGCAGTGCGGCTTCCGCACGCGCCGGGACCCCGCAGTCCGTGTGACTCTGCGCCACGATGCTTTACTGCGGAGTCTGTGCGGAAGCTGCGGGGTCTCCGAGGTCCACGCGTGAAGACCACAGAACACAGGGAAGCAGCAGCAGGAGGCACTGTGCTGTGCCCTGACGTTCCTGAGAGTGTCCTCACGCAAACATCCAAAAGGGCCTGGCAGAAGGCGTCCCTGCCTGAGCTGACCACAGCTAGCGTCCTATTACTGGTGCGAGACTGGACGCTATCCCCAGAAGGCAGGAGGAAGACACTCCTGTTCGACCGCTTCAGAAAGCACTCGCCAGAGTCACTGCAGGCCGCCCACTCCTGCCCTCCCCCCCCGGAACCCTGCCCTCCTCCGGAGCGCCCGCCACGGGGAGTACCGTTCTGCAGGGTCTGCGCTCTGGACTCCTTTCCCAGGTTCACGTGGAAGCCGCCGCCCAGCGTTGGGGTTTTGCCAGCACCTAGAAAAACAAACCCGACGGGTTAGTCAGCGCCTGCAGGAGAGAACTACACCAGCCGACCTCACGGCATGGGGCCTTTCTGAAGTGAGGACACGTGGGATCAGCATTCATGGCTGGAGGACTGGGGCCGCCTCGGCCACTCTTAGCAACCGGCAAACCTCCGCACCCTCAGGCATGCCAGGACGCGCCGCGTGGCCCTGACCTTGAGCCATGGCAGGGGGCCACGCCCACCCGCACTCTCTAACGTGTTCCAGAGCGCACGCTACCCCGTGGCAGCTAGAGGAGAGCACGGCTCACCCGCCCCAGGGCGCTCCGCGTGCCCCGCCTCAGCCCTCGCACAGGAGTTACACCTGCCCGCGGCCACTGGTCATTTGCACCCGTCCCCCAGGCATAGGACTGTGGGCCTCTGTGGCCCAGAGCCTGTGAGCCAACCGGCCTACAGGAGGCACTCCTCACCACCCGTGTGCAGCCCACCCACAGAACGGCAGCCTAGGGGGCCCCGGTCCCAAGGAGTGGCCACAGCCAGGCCTGCAGGCACCCTGCCTTGGGTCCTGCACCAATGCCGAGATGCCCCGGGACGGGCCACGCACTCCGCTCTGCGTGGCCCTGGGGCTGGGACTTGGCCGTTACTCTGCGAACAGCCAGGCGGCCATCTGGATCGCCTGCCAGACGGAAGCGCCCCACCGTCCGGTGGCCGAGGAAAGGCAGCAGAGCGGGGAAGCGCGGCCATCCTACGGGCCAGTGCATTTGTGAGCAGGTGTCCACAGAAGGCTGAGAGGCTTCTGCATGTAGGGGACACCTCACAGCCTCAGCTGCAGGATGTCGGGCCTGCGGGACGGACCAGGACACACGTGACAATGAAATGGAAACTCAGCCCTGGGAGGACTGGGAACCCAGACTGTGTCCGGAACAGGCCCCAGGGAAAGCACATGACCCATGTGTGTGGCCAGCGGAGACCTCCGGATCACCCACGGGCAGCCAGCAGCACGGACAGTGCATAGCAAGCATGGTGTCCAGCATGCCTGGGACCACAACCAAACCCCAAAGCAGCCGCCACAGGTTCCTTAACACTCTCAGCAAAACACGTCCGAAGTTCAGTCAGCAACGAGAAGAAATAAGAGAACATGGAAAAGAGCAACAGGTGGGCTCTGCTGGGCCACGGGCTGGGCTGGGCTGGCCAGGAGCCTGCTGCCCGGGGCCCGGCACTCCCACCCCCACGGCAAGGCAGAGGGGCCTTGGGAGGGCAAGACCCCAGCCGGGCAGCATCCTCAGCTGCTTCCTGCGTGGTTACCATGGTTACCAAAGCCTCAGGACCCTCCCAGTGGCCCTGTCCAGTAGAGCGTGGTGCCCAGGACAGGGGCCACTCACCACCTGGGGAGAGATTTGCTGTCACCCAGAGCTCTGGTTTCTACTGCTGCCCCAGCAGAGCACTGCCGCAGACAACCTGTCCTCAAGAAGCTGGTCACACAGGACGGGGAGGGACAGGGACCAGCAGTGAGTCCTCAAGCACCTGGAGGGGGTCAGGCTGGGCCTGTTGGGGGCTAAAGAGCTGCAGGGCCCAAAGGACATTCAACCACCTGGACGGGCACCAAGGGGTTTCCCAAACCACCAGCAAACTACCTGCCAGTCCCCTAGAGCCAGACCCTGGGCTGCAGGGCTGAGGTCAGGGCTCTGCATCTCCTACCCTGCAGTTTCGGTGATGGTGGCTTCTTCCAACCTGGGGATCTCTACATTTGCCATCTTTTCATACGGGAACCATGAGGAAGACCCACACACTCAAAGCTCCTGGCCACGGCAGCCACACCTTGGCCTGTCTGTCTCCAGCACCTCCCCAACTTTTAATTTACGAAAAGAGAAACGTCGCCATGTTGTCGTACTTAAAACGCATGTGTACTTTTAATAAACAGTTGGACTACTGCATTAGAAGAAAGATAACAGGGGCTCCTGGGTGGCTCAGTGGGTTAAGCCTCTGCCTTCGGCTCAGGTCATGGTCTCAGGGTCCCGGGATCGAGCCCCACGTCGGGCTCTCTGCTCAGCAGGGAGCCTGCTTCCCCCTCTCTCTCTGCCTGCCTCTCTGCCTACTTGTGATCTCTGTCTGTCAAATGAATAAAATATTAAAAAAACAAAAGAAGGATAACGGGGGCGCCTGGGGGACTCCCTCGTTAACCGTCTGCCTTCGACTCAGGTCATGATCTCCAGGTCCTGGGATCAAGCCCCACGTTGGGCTCCCTCTGCCTCTGCCTCTCCACCTGCTGGTGCTCACACTCTCTCTCTGTCTCTCCCTCTTTCCTCTCTCAAATAAATATGGCCTTTAGAAAAAGGGAAGAAAAAGGACACTGAAACACTGTGAACCCTGCAAAGCCCCGCCTGCAGGAACAAGAACTAGGGGTGTCTCGCCGGCCCCCGCCCCACCCCCCGCTCAGACACAGAAGGCGCCAGGCAGACCCCACTTAAGTGCTACCTGATGCTGCTCGGGATCCCCGCTTTTCCCTCCCCCCGTGCCCGCTCTCTCAAATAAACAAAATCTTTAAAAAAAGGAAGAAGAGCGACTGCACTCTGGTTGGGTATTAAACGCGATCTCCTTCCTCCTCGGAATCTCGCCAAACCGCCAGAGGCCACCCCCTTCCGCTCTTCCGAGACTTCTACTTGCTGTTCCTGTGCTGTCCTTCCCCGCCTCTCCAGGAGGACCAGCCACCGTGTCCCGCACGGCTCTGTCCGGGGCGGTCTCCCGACCCGTTCGCACACGGGGCCGGTGCACGCGCACACGGGCGCGCGCGCACACACACACACACCCCTGCCCTGTGCTCCCGGAGGTCCCCAGCGCAGCCTCAGGGCATCAGGTGCTCTCAGGACACGCTGGGATCTAGTCCCCTCCAGACTCAGTGCCCCCGGCAAGCCCGCTGGCCACCCAGAGCCAGAGTCTGGCACCCAGCAGACAACACCCACCAGGGCTGGGTTACAGGACACGAAATCTGGAATGTGCGCATGCGTGGTACAAAACGTGCGTGTTTGGCGGGTCTCACCGGTAAAGCAGGAGGCCGAGGGGCTCTGAACGGGAAGTGGAACGACTGCCTATGGGCACAGCGGCCAAGGCAGGGTGTGTCTGGCCTTCAGACCCCTTCAGGCTATTCCCGCCACTTCTCAACACGCAGCCGGAGGACGGGACAACCGGGCTAAGACCGCCCCCTCGCGGACGGCGGCAGAAGGCCCGATGCCACGCCCACGCCACCGCCACCTGCAGACCCAGGAGCCGAGGGGCCACCGCAAGCCTGGCCACTGTGAGTGCAGGGACCAAAGCCAGCAACACCAGCACCTCAACACCGGGGAGAGGAGGCCGGGCTGCGGGGCTTCAGCACCCCAGAACCACCCCTGTTCACCCACACACTCCACAACACGGCTGAGCACAGCCTTTAGGGACCCGACTTACAGGGAGGGTCTCTGTCGCTGCTGCTGAGCCCTTCCCCAGAGGCCCTGGAGGTGGGCTCAGCAGTCCGGGACACGAGCCCCTTGGGGGCTCCCAGAAAACCCCGGACCAGGCAATGGCAGTGCTGTGCTCCGGGACGCCGCCTGGACACGGACACAGGGTGACACGGGGAGCTAAGCGGAGACCCCTCTCCACCAGCTGCAGCGCCCAAAGACCCTGTTCCGAAGGGATGAACACCCTGATTCTGGAAGCCATACAGCATGGAGCGCGGTGGCCGAGAGACGCCGCCAGCGACGTCGTAGACAGAGCAGCCCCGTCCAGCCGGGGCCTTGAGCAGAGCTCAGCCGACGTCTCCTGAGAACAGGCACTCTGGCCAAGACACCACCCTGTCTGTGCTCAGAGGCCTAAGTCACAGGTGTCCGGGCCGGGCACAGCCAGGCAGGCGGGCGCGGGTCCCACCGTTCCCCAGGGCAGAGGGACCTTTTCCAGCGAGCGAGGGCGGCCCCGGTCCTGGGAGCCCTCCCCGAACAGGGCTGGGTGCTGCACACCTTCCTCACTGTATTATGGCTGGGGGGGCACCAACACAAGCGTGTGGAAAGGACGTCAGCACTGCTGTCTGTGACAACGCGGCGCTCACAGACACCGAGACTGACAAGCCGACGTCTGCAGCCGTGAAACGCTGTGACTATGGAAACCACGGCAAGAGCTCCCTGGGGGACAGGGGGAAGGACCCCACGGGAGCAGGAACCACAGGAGGCCGGGTGCCGGAGCTCCCTCCGCCTGCAGGCCGCGTCTCCGGGGAGCGGTGCTGACACGTCCAGGGAGAGGTCCACAGCGGGGTCGGCACCACCGGCGGCAGAGGGGACAGCCGGGGGGAGGGCTGCTGGCTCCCTCAGGGCGGACACACGGCACCGCACACTCACTCCTACCCGGCTGGGAAGCCACACACAGGCCGAGCCCCTCCCCAGGGGAGCGGCAGGACCCTGCCTCAGGACCCCACTAAGGCCCCAGCCAGGCCGACTCTGCCCACGGACTTGCCACTCTGGCCACGCGGAGCCGAGTGCCATCCTCACACAGCCACCCCTCCTCTCGGCTGGCCGCCTTCCTCACACCCGTGCCCACCGGGTCCCCAGGAGCACTCACACCACCAGCACTGAACCCCGGCCTCACACTGGGCTGGTCCAAGAGTATCTTCCGGGGACTCGGGGACCAGAGCTCCTGGGTCCCAGAGGCCAGGCGTGGCCCACAATGGGTGCTTGCCAGAAAGAGCCCCATTGGGAGCCCACAGAGGCAGGGCTTCTGGCCCCATGGCCCTGGCATCTCATCTACAGAGTCCCAGGTGCGCTGCGGTGCTAACTGTCCGTATGCAGTTCTCAAGGAACAGGGAAGACAGTGACCGTGGGCCCCCGATGAGGGCCCATGGGAGGGATCTTGGGCCTTGAGCGCGGAGAAGCAAGCTCGGCTTCCAGGTGAGGCTGCAGCGGAGGAGGGCCCGAGGGGAGCCGCCGGCACGCGTGTCTGCCTGGGAGCTGGGGGAACCCACGTCAGCAGGTCGTGAGATCACGGCCCTGAGCGGGCACGGGGGGCGGGGGCACGGCGGGGCACTGAGCCGCGGCCCCAGGAGCCGCCTCTCCCCAGCCTGGGGCTAAGAGCCACGCAGCATCTGCAGCCCCTCCCTGCGCCCCCCCCCCCCAAGGACAAGCCCCGGGACAGAGCGGCGCTGGGCTGGGGAAGCGTCTTCACAACGTGGAACTGCGCCTTCCCCGGGCAGCTGGCTGTGAGACGGCTTCTCCCCACGCCAGCGGGCGCACCCTGCTCACGTCCGCGACTCTCTCAGGGCGTCCTGTCCCCTGCAGCCTGTGTCCCCAGCTGCTGGGGGGCAGGTGTGGGGTGTGCTCAGCACAGCGCCCTTCCACAGGGCCCCTAAGTGTCGGCTCCTGCAACCGTCTGTCCTTCCTGTTGTCCTCACTCTTTCCAGGGACTCGAGGGACAGTCTGACAATGTGTGACACACCCACAAGACGGTGCCGCGCAGCCCTCGCCCCAGCATCCCAGGAAGTCATCCCAGGAAGTCATCCCGGAAGCGCATGCGGACACGCGCCCTGCGTCAGAGATGACGGGTGGAGAACGGGAGGGAGAAGCCAGGCAGACCCCAACCGCTCCTCGCGAAGCTCATCCGAAGCGGCCAACTTCCCGCAGGACGGACAAAGGGAAGAGAGAAGACAGGAAAGGAAGTGTGGGGCCAGAGAACGGGGCACCATGAGAGACCCCGCAGACCTCAAAGGATGAGGGAAGGGCAGCCACAGCTCTGCCGCTTAGAGCAAATGGACCAAGCCTGGACCACACCGTCCGACCGCCAAGCCGCCCCCGGGGAGAGGGTGACCGCGAATGAACTACAGCCCACACTGCCCAAGATCCGGGACTCGGGGCTGCGAACCGTCCGGAAAGGAAACCTCTGGGCCCAGACGTCTCCACTGGTGAATGGCACCACCGCTCAAGGAAGCAAGAACAGCAACGCTACAGTCTCGTCCAAAACACGAGGGACGGAGCGGGTCCCCACGGGTCCCACGAGAGCCATCACCTCGGTATCCACACAGCACCCAGCAGACCCCCGGCACAGCGACGCTCTAGGACCAGGTGGGTTTCCCCGGACGAAAGGCAGGTCCGGCTCGGGAAGCTCGCGCTCGCCCGCGACTGAAGACGGCGGAGACGAGCCAGCGTCCCGCAGCAGCCCAGCGCCGCGCGCGGTGACGACTCTCGGCGAACCCGGCGCAGAGCGGGGCTTCCTCGCCTTCCACGGCCCAAAACCTAGGGCTACCGGAACACTCAGGGGGCGGCACAGAGCGCCTCCCCCCAGCCTGGGCGCGAGGCAGGCAGGTCGCTGGGCAGCGAGACAGAGACACGCGCCTTGCTGACGGGCACTGGGACTGTGTAAGCAGAGGACCCCGAACTCCAGCCCAGGCTCTCCTCCACGCACAGCTGAAGGTCCGCGACGCGGCGGGGAAGAGGCCGGCAACGGACACCGACCCCGCGGCCGCACCCCCGCCCCGCACGACTGCGAGCCACTTCCCAGGGCCCGCTGGCCGGGCGCACGGCGCGGCCCAAGAGCACGGGCTGCAGAAAGGACACTGTGTGCACCGAGGGCGTCCCACGGGCTGCAGCAGCTCCGTCCCCTCCCAGCGCCTTCCACAGCCCGTCCTCCGTCCTGGGGAGGGTCACGCCGCAGCCACGACAGGACCCGCCACGGACACCAGCACCCTCCAGGGCCAAGTCACCGGCAGTGGCGGAGGGGAAGACGCCGGCCCAGAGGGGGGGACCCAGAGCACATCCCGCGCAGTGCGGCGGGGACGGGCGGCTCGCGGAGCCAGCTCCCGGGACTTGGGGCTACTGAACTTTTCTTTGTGCTCGCTGGGCGGGCTCCCTGACCGCCACCGAGCCGTCCCACAGCCGGCCGCAGCGGCGTGTTACCGGAGGGCTGGGGGGACAGGACGGCCGCGTCACCGGTGTCCCTCCCGTGAATTCCGTTATCAGCTCCCGCCCGGGTGCGGGGCCGGGGGCGCTCGGGCACTGGGGGACCACCTGGCTACGGGAGGGCTGCCACCCGGTGACCCGCACGCCAGGGTCCGCGGCGTCCTCGGTGTCCCCCGTGTCCCCCCGTATCCCCCGTGCCCCCCCGCGCCCCCCGCGCCCCCCGGCCAGCGCGGACCCACCGTCCAGCGACACGAACTGGCCCACGGCCGACGAGCCGCCGCCGCTGTTCTCCACGAACTGCACCTCCGACACGATGATGTTGTCCTCGAGCACCGAGCCGCAGCCGGTGCACACGGCGTCGCCGCGCGCCGTGTCCAGCTCGATGTCGGTGCCGCCGCAGCCGCGGCACACGCGGCCCGTCATGACGGCGGCGCCCGCGCGGGTCCGTCCGCCCCGGCCCCGGCCCGGGCCCCGGCCCCGGCCCCCGCCCGCCCGCGCGTCCTCCCGCCCGACTCTCGCGAGGCCGCCGCCGCCGCCGAGCCCGCCGATTCGCGGCGACAGATTCGCCGCGCAGGACGCGGCCGCGCCGCCCGCAACGGTCGTGCCCGCGCGTCGGGGACGGGCACCGGGGCTGCGGCGCGGCCGCGAGGACTCGAACCCGCCACGTCCGGACGCCGGCGCCGCCGCGGGACTTCAGACCCACTGACCGGCAGGCCTCACGGGCCGCGCGCAGGCGCCAACGGTGGGCGGGGCCGGGCGGTGGGCGGGGCTTGGGTGGGGAGCGCCGCCGGGGACGGACCGGGAGCGGTGGGCGGAGCCAGGAAGGTGGGCGGGGCCGGGGCGGCGGGCGGAGCGCGCTCCCTTCCGCGGAGCCCGCAAGCGGTCCTGGAGGCTCGCCCCGGCTCCCCGGCTTCCGCCTGACGGTGCGCGGCCGCCTGCGCCCCGGCCGCTGTGGCGTCCCCGCAGGGGCCCGCCGTGGCCGGCACTTAGGGGCGCCACTGGGTTCCCCTGGGCCCGACTCGCGACCCGCGCTCCGGCGCTGCAGGGGTGGCGCCCCCGGGCGGACGCGGACACGCGCGGGGCCGCGCTGCTCGGACGCTGAGGTCTCGGGGGGAGGGGGGACGCGGCCGCGCTCAGGCCCCCGGGACGCGGCCGCTCGCAGCGGGAAGCCGGCGGTCCGGTCGGCCTCGCCCGGGCGCAGCGCCCGCGGGTTGCACGTGACCTGGGAAGCGATTCCCGCAGCCCCCGGACCGGGCCGTCGCGAGCGCGGTCAGGACCGTGGGACAGTGAACGGCCAAACGCCGGAGGAGGGGCCGCACTGTCCCCCCGCGGGCGCAGAGCCGCGGCCGATCGCGCGAGGACCCGGCCGCGGCACGACCCCTGTGGGGGCAGGCGGCCCAGCGCGCGCAGAAGCTGAGGGACCTCGAGCCCCTCCGGACAGGGCTGCGGCTTCTCCTGCACTCAGAGTGGGCAGGGGGTCCTTTGAGCCCCGGCCTCCCCCTGTTCCGCGAACGTATTCCACGTAGCGTCCAGCACAAGGAGTCCAGCCGGGCGGCCGGATGGCATCGGGCGAGAGCAGATGCCAGGCCTCGGCTCTGTGCTGTGCGGGGCGCGGGCTGGCCTCTGAGCCCGGCCGTGCGCGGGCGCTCCGGCTCTCCCGCACCGGGCAGCGCCAGGCCCACCACCCTACTGCGGCGCCGGGCGTCAGGCCCATGCGGCCCAAGCAGGGCGTGGGTGAGTCCCAGGCACAGGCAAAGACGCCTAAGAGGCCCGATCCGGAAGAACTTACCTGGAAACCCTAAAGCATGGCCTTTTCTCCATAAAAACGTTTCACTCATGACCAAAAACGGGCAGAAGATAGGAAAACAGTCCAGAAAAACCACCCATCCGCACCACAGCCTGTTCCCGTCCTGCGGGCTTGGCTCACCTCCCCTCATGGGCCTCGTCTCACTGGGACGCCAGGAGAATCGCAGCGCTGGTGGGCTCACACCCGTCCCCTCCCTGCCTGCGTGGACATGAGCCCTCCCCAGCCCCCACCACCCAAGCAGATTTTGTGCTCCTCGTAAGCAGTGCTGTCGGGTGTCTGTGAGACACGCACACGCGCCCTCCTCTTCCTCCTCAACACGGCTGGATTTGCTCACTGAGACCTTCTATTCGCCGTGGCTGCCGCGTCCTCAATGGTGCAAACCACAGAGGGGATTCTGCATGGCATCTCCTGCTGAGGATGTGAGGCTGTTGCAGGGGTGAACCTCGTGTTCGTGGGCCCCCCGCACATGGGCAAACCCCACGGAGACCCCCCCGGGGTACGTCTGGGGCTGCAGAGGTCGCACACCCTCCGCGCCCTAATATTATTTATTAGTGGCTGCCTGACGAATGACCACAAAGCTTGACGGCTTAAAACGACAAACATCTGTCATCTCCCGCCGTTTCTCGGGGTCCGGGATCCGGGAGAGCCAAGCGGGGTGGCTGTGGTCACTCTCTGACTCGGCCATGCTGGGTGCCGCGGGCTCCTGGGAGGGGAGGGCCGCCGCCAGGCCCCGGCTGCTGCCAGTGTGGACGGGACACACTTGGGCGGGGGGCGGAAGGGAAATGTCCCCGCAAGGACAGACAGCCGAAGAGGACAGAGCATTGGGACGAGCCCGAGACGGCAGCCGCGGTGCCCGGGAAGCAGCTGGAGAGCTCTTCTCTCCAGCCGCCCGTCCTGCGCGCCTGCACAGAGGCCGAGGGCCTCCAGACAGAGGGCCCCTCCCCGCCCACCCCGAGAGTCCCCCGTGGGGAGCCATGGGGAGCAGGGAGAGGAGGCGGTCGTCCCTGCTGGGCCCTGTGCGGGAGGCATCTGGAGGGGAGCCCACCCTCTGGGAACTGGCTGCAGACCTCACAGGCCCAGATGCACAGCCCTGAGGCGGGGGACAGGGAGAGGGCACGGAGGTGAACCCACAGTGTGGGGTCAGGTGGGGCACCGGGGAGTGGCTGGGCCACGGGCCAGGGAAGCAGGGGGGGCGGCTGTAGCCCGACCCTCATTCAGAACTGAAGGCTGGGGGTCCTTGCCATTCAGCTCTTTTAAGACATCCTTCCGTTGTCTTCCTGCTCCCATCATTTCTGCAGAAAAATTCCGTGTTATCTCTTTCTGTTGCACCCAGAGAATAAGATACCAGTTTTCCTGGATGCTTTTAAATTTTGACTTTCAGGAGTTTTATGAGGATGTTCCTAGGTGTATTTCCTTTGTACTTATGCCAATTAAAATTCATAGAATGTCTTTAATCTACGGTTTTTGTCTTTCATCTTTTTTAAAAATTCTTGGCCAATATCGTTCAAATATTGCTCCTGCGCCATCGTCTGGGAGCCCTCTGCTCTGGGTCGGGGCGACACCCAGGCCCCGTTAGCAGCAGGCACCGTGCCTCCCGCACGCAGCTCTCTATCTGTAGTCCCCGTCGCCCCCGCCCTGCCCCTGGGTATTTTCTACTCACCCAGGCTCCGCTTCACAAATCCTCTTTTCTGCTCTCCAGAACCTGTGGTTGAAACCATCTACTCGGGGGAGGCCTGGGTGGCTCAGTGGGTTAAAGCCTCTGCCTTCGGCTCAGGTCATGATCTCAGGGTCCTGGGATTGAGCCCCACATCGGGCTCTCTGCTCAGTGAGGAGCCTGCTTCCCCCTCTCTCTGCCTGCCTCTCTGCCTACTTGTGATCTCTCTGTCTCTGTAAAATAAATAAAATCTTAAAAAAAAAAAAAACTTTAAAAAAATCCATTTAGGGCGCCTGGGTGGCTCAGTGGTTAGAGCCTCTGCCTTCGGCTCAGGTCATGATCTCAGGGTCCTGGGATCGAGTCCCGCATCGGGCTCTCTGCTCAGCAGGGAGCCTGCCTCCTCCTGTCTCTCTCTGCCTGCCTCTCTGCCTACTTGTGATCTGTCAAATTAAAAAAAAAAATCCATTTAGTTGCTGATGTCACTTCTCCAACGTGCATCTGGTACTCTCTTTTGAGACATCCGTTCCCGGAAGAAATTCTCCCTTGTTCCCATTTGTGTTCTTGTGCGTATTAACATTTTAAGGTTCGTTGCAGGGATTCTCCTATCTGGTGACCCATGGGTTCATGTTGACTGTTTATTCCTGGTTTGTGGGACCTTGTCTCCTGGCACACCTGATCACTTTGGGATAAATGAGGATCCCCCTGCTGGAAAACGTTGAGGCTCAGGGAGACGTCTTTGTAATTCAGAGAGAAATCATTTTTATTCTGTCACTCAGAGAGGGTAGGGGCCGCTCCTTGATACAGTCAGGCACTGATAGGGTTCCAGCTCTGTTTTGGGCTTGGGGAGGGTACTCTGTTTTCTTGTTTGCAGGCATTGCCTCCTAGGGGCTGGACCCCGAGTCTGAGGAGTCACCAGGGACCCCGGGCCCTGCAGGGCAGTCCTGGACCTCCACCTTCTGTGAGACTCCCCATACCTCTGCTTGCCTTTTCTTCCCCCCGCCCCCTGACTTTTATGTAGGTCTTTCTTAATTTCTCCCGAAAATGCTTTTCGGTTTTGTTTACAGCTTGATGGAGCTATAGCAGGGATGGGGTACCCACACGTAATGATGTGCATGATTTGATGAGTTTCCCTTCTGGTTTCTTCTTTGGCCCAGGGGCCACTTGGTGAGTTTGGTGAGTGCTGACACCCACGACCACAATCAACACCATGACCTTCCTCCTGCCCCACTTGCGTCCGCGGCTCTGAAACTGGCCGTTCTGCCTTCTGTCTCTGCTCTCCGGAGGTTTCCCAGTGTTACCGACCCTCTCTAAGAACCACAGTGGGTTCACTGGTTCTCTTTACTCCTTTTGTTTTCTATTTCACTGATTTCTACTCTCGATGTTTATTCTATTGTCCCCTCTGCTTAAGTGGGGTTCATAATCAGTTCTTTCTCTGCCTGGTTTTGCTGGGGGGAGACGAGCTCATTGACATGGCTTCCTTGCTCTATGACGCGGGCCTTGTAGTGCTAGACATCTGCCTCTAACCACCACTTTAGCCGAATCCCACAAATTTCAACGTGTTCAGTTTTCATTTTGTTCAATCTGCTGTTCTTTCTAATTTCTCTCTCGATTTCTTGGTGGACCCAAGGGTTATTCGGATGCCCAGTGTTTAGTTTAGGGAACGGGATGGGGTGGTTGGTTTCTGAACTCCCCATCTGTTACGCTCTCTGGGCGCACACCCTCTCCGCACACGGCCACACTCAGCCCTCGTGGCCATGCTGTGCAGCTGCAGACCCTGTTCCCTGCATTTCGTGGAGCCCCTGTGAGTCTGAGGGCAGACAGCCCTAATCCACGTGGCCTACAGCAGACAAAGCCGGAATCCTGCCTGGATCTGCTGAATCCTGTCCTCACTTGGTGAGCCGGCAGGGCTCGCGGGGAAACTCCTGGAGGAGAGGGTGCAGAGGCCCCCAGGGCCCTCCTGGCCCCCGCATGCGAGTGGGGGGTTTC